TTGTTAATTTATAATATACTCCGTGAGTATACATTATACACAACTTTTTGTACTTATAATTCATTGTTCTTAAACAAACGAAATGCACATCGATATTGAAATATTATTGTTATAATATTAAACAATTTCGAAATGATTAATTAAGTATACAATTCGGCTTGCGTTTATGCATTGAGACGGGGTCTGATCGACGCATTTATATATTTTAATATTATATAATCATATCATATTTTACCGAGTATTACTGCTAGGTAGATCATCCCCTCAAGCATGCTTTGTCAATAATATTTTACGCACTTATGCTTATTGAAAAATGTTCCAGATTATGTGAATATATGCATATTATAATAAATGTTTAAAAAAATATATCATATTTTAAAGGTGAAAATAAAATTAAAATATTTGCTTTTACATTTCTATCCGCTGTTTTATGAATAATATAATATACAGTTGAGTGAAGTTAAACCAAAGGGAGATTCGATGTTTCGATATTTTATAATATTGTTTAAATAATCTATGATAATAGTATATCCGAGTCAATATTTTCAGAGAGTTAATTTCTCTTTAGAATACAAAATTAAAATGAGAAAAAAAAATATGATGTACAGAAAATGTCAGTCATTTTTGAGAATGCGAAAATTGGCTGTAAAAAGGAGTGCACCTTATAAGCTTAAAATAAAAATGACCACATAGGTACAGTGTAATAATAATAATAATAATAATAATAATATGATATTACCACGAGGAATATTATATGGTTATGAACGCACAACAATCTACTGGTCGTTTGCAACGCTAGAGAATATTATCAACCAGCCTCCGCTATCCCTCTTCCGGGACCATATTCGGGATAAGTGGACCGACATTATGTTATATAATATATTATTATTATAACGTCAAGCATATACATGATGGACCCGTGGAAATCGATGAACCGTCAGCTGGTCGAGACCTAATCCAACCGCAAGTGGTCCACGTAAAGTAGACTGTGTACACATATAAATAATAATATTATAATATAAATCGTAATAGTATCGCGCCAACGACGTGACCGCATAGTTATTCGACGTCGTAAATCGTGGTTAAAGGTTTGCCGACCCCATGTCGTAACATTTTAATACCCACTCAATTATGATGTTTGCTTCTCCCGATAAAATATACATAACATTATCTTAACTGCTAATAGTCATTGAAGTATAGAAGCATGGATTAGGAAGACAGTAAAAATGTCCGGACAAAATTATTTCCTCGAGACTAACAGATGATTGGCCTCGAAAAAAGATTCCGGCATATATTATTTCATTTGTTTTGAATGTTAGTAACACATTCATTACCGAATACCATCAGACAAAAGACTCCGGAGACAAGCTGATGCTCCCCTAAAATCTATGCGAAATACTATCGCCCGACTCAGAGAGAACATTGATTCTTCTGGAACTCCTCAAATAGACGAACCTATTTCAGAAAATATAGCAAGAACCCGTAGATTATAATATTATCACATGTATTTTCAATAGCCTAAACTTAAATGAATCATTTTAAGACACCTAATTTGTAAACAACTTTAGTAGAAATGTATTTTAGAAATTATAAAATGCAATGTGTTTCTTCAGAAACGCCAATAACCCTAACAGTTGAGGTGATTTTTTATATTATACAAAAAAAAAAATACATTCATGATTGTTTTAAAGTTTATCATTTTTTTTTTCAAAAATTAAAAAAAATCATTTTAACGAAATTTTAAATTTGCCTGCATCTGAAATGCACTATAATAATCAAGGTCACTTGATTAATCCAAATACAAACCCTCGAAATTGAGAAATTTGTTTTAGAAAAGAGTCTTGTATTTTATGATAAACAGCATAATATTATGTCATGTGTAGTCGTAACTGAAGATTTATGATGATTAACTAAGATTTAATGAGTAAGCTTAACTATGCTAAACTAATAATAATTTCATAAAATCTTCCACGATGAGTAGATGCATGATATCGCAACTAGATAATAAATCATTTCTGAAATTAACAATATGTAATTATTATATGAATTCAAAACATGCATGATAATATTTCAAAATTAAATGAGTAACAAAAGTTGAATATTTAGGTTTCACTGTAACACGAGATGGATGTACATTTAGAAAATGCGCCTACTGACATTTATTATTTTTAATTTTATTATTATAGTGTAGACAATAATATTATCATTTTCAAAGATACTATAAAAATTGTTTATAAGTCACTAAAATGTTTTAATTTTCTAATTAATGATGTTAAAGAATATTTAATAACTATCATAACTATATTAACATTGATACAATTGTATGTAATTTGTATTAGATAATATCTAAGATTTTTCCATCAAGGGTTGAATTTTGAAAAAGTCTTTCTTAACGAACATTTCCTACACATATAGAATTTACCTTTCATAGGTTAAAATAATGCACTATTTATAATATAAATTTATTATTATGTAATTTCACAATATTTATATATCAACCTATAATTATTCATGAAATAAATATTTATTATTTCAATATTTCATTATTATTGACTGTTACCAATAATTCACTAGTACGATTAAATAACAAAATATTTTTTTACCATTAGTGAAATGTATTATTTTAGTATAAACTAAAAAATAGTAAACTATTATTTTTTATTAATATAAATAAAGTGCATTGACATTACATGCCAATGTATCTATATTCTATAGCATATCGTGTATTAGAATACAACGTATCTTATAATATCACATTATTTATATATTCTTACTATATTACCTCATAAAGTATAGGATTTATTATTTAATACTTTACAATAAGTCAAAATATTATATAGTTTATTGTTACAAATTCCATAATTGTCAGACCACATGAAGCTACTTTTTTAATATGATGAAAGAAAATTGTATATTTTAATTATTTGCCTGAATTAATTTAATTATTTTTTGTCTCTCCCGAGAATTCTGAAATATTGAAATTACGTTGTAATGCAGTGACAGTCTTGACATTTACGACATTTGAATGTTATTTAAATTATGTTTTTCCTGTTGTACAATAATGCATTCGAATTGTAAAATGTTAATAGTTGCACATAAATCTCGGCAACGATATTATTACCAATGTCATTACTTAGTTTCAAGATTTTACAAGATATTTTTAACAGAGATCAGTTGAAGATAGTTTCTAAAATGCATTTTTACGCATACTCATTATGCATACAGTGTACATTAATATTTCAATAAAATATATATATTTTTTTTATTATTGATCGAAGTTAATTTGGCTAATATGCCAATAATAATAATTCTACATTGTAATATTAGTAATTACATATTCTTATTGTTTACATTGTAGGTAATGATTATACTAAGTTGTATCGTTATACTTAATTTCAATATTTATCTGTTCGACTAAACCTAGTAATTGTCCATAGAATATTATGAGCTTCCAACATTTTTCCAGCTACTTAAATTTAAACCGTATTAGGTAGCGTTTTAGAAATTGATAAATTGCATGATTAAAATATAATGTAACCAATAAATTGAAGATAGTGCAGCGTCTCATCTCAAACTCTCCTAGTCAAGTACTTAGGCATGTTCCGATAGTCAAGTTTTATATCATAGACGACGATTCGTGATGCTCTCATCAATGGCGATTCATAATGTATTAATTATTTGTTCGATGTACAAGTGGCGGGTAACTACTACAAACAGCAGTCAAAATAATGATGCACGATGATGTAGCTACATTGCCTATACACTGCGCCGTCCAACAAATATTATATTTATATTTTATTATCGAGAAATACAATTATTATAGTTTTCTAGATCAAGAGTCTTACAAGACGTTCTAATGCACATCAATATTTATAAATAATGATACACTTGTAAACAATGAACCGTGACAAGTTGTGGTTATCATTGGATGAAACAAAAATCACCACTATGCGATGGAACAAAAAAAAAGTATAAACATAAACATGCTTTATGAATAATCTTGTTTATGGAATAATATTAATTTTTGAATATTTTATTTTTGTCTATTGATTTAGCGTTATACTCGAAGTTATAATTTATAATATACAAATACTGCGTGTAACATAATATTAAGTATCCTACCTACATTTAACGGTCACAATAATTTACACGTTTGATTTATTTGTTTATAAGCAGAGCATTGGTTTTTGTCACAGAGTAATACATAATCCTACGTCATAAATATTAGCTCCAATATTTATCATAATTTTAAAATTGCCTAGGTCTCGTGCACATCATCAGAACTCAATCGTATAATTTATAACTGTAACGATTCCGTTTTTTCACTGTAATTACATTTAATTAAATTTAAAACAAAAGTTAAAAATGTATACCTAATTAAAAATAATGTTGTGAGTATACAAACTGCAAGCCTCTGATTAAAACTTGAATAAATTACCCCAACGATAGTTTATTGAATTCGTTTTAAAAGTAATATGTTTTATAAATCTGTTACCTAATTAGTTTTGATCGAGTGCACCAACTAGATAAAAATATTTAACATTTTATCTTGACTAGGTACAAAGAATTTAAGATATATTTTTAACCATCTATTTAAATAAATTTCTATCTGAGATAAATTATCTAAATAATTGTTTGGTTATCTTTTCAGAACACTGCATATTTGATTGAATATACTTCGAGTAGGAAGTAGACATTATAGCTGACGGATAAGATGTTTCAAATAAACGATCTGTTGGTTATGGCAGATGACTTATCATGTTGTTGAAATCAAATTTTTATTTCTATAAATCAACCTGTATATATTTATTTATATTTAAAAAAAATAACACATACATAATAATATGTCTAAAACAATTTTTTTATACACGTCATATTGTATGATAACATATTCCACTGAAACACTAGACTATTATATTGTTATTAACAACATAGTTGTATTCATTATTTGTTTATTATTGTGTGAACCTTTAAATTAAATCAGGTTTTAAAAATTATACATAATTCACGTATAGTAAATAGTAATGATTATTAATAAAGTTCCGGCTAAATAATACAATACAGGTATAACATTGATATGGTATTTACACATGGTACAGTTCTTAACTTTATATTTTTGTACATTATCAAAATTCAAAACAATAACAAATAAAATATTTGGTAATTCTCTAAGATATGGGAAAACATTTAATGAACATTTAAGACTTTTAGTAAAAACGTTTGTCAAGGAATGTTATACGAATTCAATACAATTCGGTGTAATTATGAAACAAAATTATTATGTTACTCGATAAAAAGGCAAAAAAAAACCGTGTCGTAAATTGGACATTTTTTACGATTACGTTTGAGCAATTTTATTCTCAATCGTTATAGGAATTTATTGCGCTTAAGTTTTTGTTAGTTTTGTCAAAGGTTAATATTGGATTATAACAATTAGTCAGAAAATATGATGAAACATACAGAACAAAAATAACAGATGTACTGTGCGACACTTAAACGTTTCATTTGTTCCAATCACCAGTGAAAGTTTTTTTGACGGACATAACGATTAACAAGTTTTCTAAGTTATTGAATCGGTTACAATGTACCGGTAAAATTTTGACAAGGTTTCAGTTTTATTGGTTACATATTGGTTCGTAACAAACGATCACATACGATGGTATAAGACTTTAGGCGTTAAAAAATAACCATTTTCGTGTTTCCTTATCTTTTTATCCAACTTTCAAATTTAAAAAAAAATCAAGAGTTAACTCTTGCCTTTTGAATTTATGAAACCAAGTACATTTAAGTTACTTCTTAATTAATTATAATTATTTAAGGCTTATTAATGTTGACATGTCAAGCGGTAATGTGATTGTTAATATTTCGAATCGAAAAACTTAAATCGTATAAACCAAAAATTATAAAAATCTGACTGGTGACAATGAATCAATTAAAATGACGGATTTTATCTGGATAGTAAAAAAATGCTCTTTAAATGGAAGCAATTATGATTTGATCACGTGTGACTACAGCCCAGGTTATTTCTGTACGTATTGGTGATCACGCGATTTCGGTTTTCGACCGCATACCCAAACACAGCCTTAATGAAATTTAATTAGTATCATTATTATTGGTAGATTGGTAGGTGAGCAGTCGGTAACCGCATATAACATGGCTGTTAGGTACTCTGCAGTCATGGTAATGTGGTGGCGTAGGTTTAATGGCCAGTGGTGTAGTGCGCAGTATTTTTCTACGGTTTAGGGGATGGTGGTGAAAATAAAAACATGATTACAAGAACGTAATGACCCGAATTCCGATCAAGTTTCTTTCAACCCTCGGAACGTGTACGCCCTTTTTGCGTGTGTGACGGTAATGACATCAGTGAATCCGTAGGCCTCCTTGTGAGGTTCAGTTCAGGAGCCACAGGATCAGTGGCGGCGAAACGGCTAGTGCCAGCGACACGAGTCCTCCTATGGCGGCGTCCACTGGACAACCGGTCGACCAGCTGGCAGTGGCGGCTGCAAGGAACGCCAACTCAGCCGCGATGCTCACGGATTGGCTGACCGTCGACCGGCGGACCCGACTCGAACCGCGGCTTGCCCGGTGGCTACTGCTTTTTGTCTCCATCTCGCCCGCCGACTCGACGCCGTTCATCCGCAAACCGGTCTTGTCGTCCGTTTTGCCTCCAGATTTACGGTCACCTGGAAAAACAGATGAGAAGTTCACAACCACGTTCAAAACAACACTTATAGTCAAGATGATTTTAAATATTGCTGGTATTCGATATTTCGATCGAAAAAATGTACACAATAAGTTTCAAGTGCTGCTGTATTTGTATGATATTGAATTACAAAAAAAAAAATATTTATATTTTATATTAAAATGAAACGTTTGGCGTAACGAATTTAGTACAATTAGGTATATCGTTGTTTTAGTGTATTTTGAAAAATGTATTATATTGTTCACTGAAAAATATACATATGTGCCTATTGTCATACGTGGTAACAATTAAATCGTGGTCTATCACTGCTGGTATGCTGTGTGCAATTGTGTATCCGTAGTGATAGATCTGTACTAAACGGATGGATGTGAGAAGATTTGGTTGTTCGATAAGACAGTTATATACCGAGTACAGTTTAACGTATATATTTAAAATAAAACAATATGTTTTATAAACTATTTTACTTTACAGATGACCTAGAAGCAACAATATACGGTGCAAGAGGTGAAACGAGACTAGTTCGGAAGACGGATGTCTTGCAGGCCGAACGATCATTGTAATCAATTTTGTTTACTAGTCAAAATAGTTATACCTATGTATGGCTTTACTCCGTGATATTACAAAACGAATAAAAGATGACGCGCACGTCTGTGATATATGTATAGTATGTAATAGTATACGTAATATTATAATTATAAAATTATGAAAACTGTGATGGTGTTCCACGCTATAACACTATAAGTCAATTTGTTTAGTGTGAAAATAATTACCAATTTCCTAAAATAATAATATTATATCACGGGTGTATAACAATTAAAATTATAATTAAAAATTTAAAAAAAATACTTGAACAACCATTTTGTACTAATTATTACTATATAGGTAAATTTATAATTATTATTAATTTCCCAAATACATTTTATGTGAGCATAGTTCTTAAATGTACCTACTACCCAATTAATTATTATACAGGCCTAAACATGCTCGAGTATATTGATTTTGATAAGTTGAATTAAAAAAAAAAAAAAAAACGAGGAACAAAATTTGTAATAGAGTTTGAGGAAATATTTTTATTTATTTTTTGAATATATAATCTTGTAAAATTTTGTTCACTAAATATTTTTAATATTTTTTAAATTATGTAAAAAAAACTCAATCTTCTGGTACTGAAATTAAAAATGTGTTATATCAATTTATAAGTTTATAACCAAAAATATTTTTGTAACTTTCATGATTTTAAAGAATTTCGTTAAAATTACAACCCTTTTGTTTATGAATATTATGCTTATGAAAAAAATAAATATTAACCATTTTTATATTTGAACTGTATATACTGCTAAAAGAAAAACTTATGAAAAAACACGATTTTAATTTCTTAAATTATCTAAACGAGAATTTAAAATGTCTATAAACAACTTAAAAATATGTTAATTATTTTTAAATGAATATTATAATTTCTAAAAACAGATTATCTAAATATTTGGTTAAAATTTGAATGATGTACATATATTTTCTTCCCGGGCACAGTAAAAACTATCATCTGAGTCTAGCATTTTTTAAATATTATCGTTTTACCACTAATGTTTTTATGAATTTAAAAAAGTAAACTTAGTAACTCAGTTGATTTTAACTTCTCATGTATATGTATTAAGATCAAATTGATATTCACAAATTTTTTTTTTTCTTTGAAGATTGTAGCAAACGTACAGCTCCAAGCTTAATGCAGACTCAAAAATACCACACATCATTGTGATTCCTACTAGCTCTGCTGGGTATCTAAAATATATTATAGTTATATCATTATTTTAAAATCAAACCACTAAAATATCAGAATTGAACACCCGTCAAAAAATTAAGGCCGATTAATTATAAATATGCATTATGAATGGCATTCTGTGCTCTCCGGAAATGGAAATCTAGAGATAATAGACGCCCAGTGTCTGCAATCGCCACTCGGCGTCCGCCGACACATAATAAGATTCTTCCGGTATCCGTATTCCACAACGCTGTTTTTGCACTACACAAGATGGATTGTTTTAGGCGAATAACATTCTGTGCTTTTACCAGTCTGTCGTGAATAAAACTACATTGGTGATGAAGAAAAAAAACTCGAACGTACATCAAAATATGTAAGTATTTTTTTATTGCCGTATTATATCATCATATTCGAGAAACAAATCATTAGGTATTGTCCTGTTATAAGACAGTTGGTATTTATTTAAGGATACACATGTGCAAAACAATGACAAACTGTTTTATAATAAAAGCCATTTGTTTGTGTTGTATAGAGCTATACTGCTTAAAATCACACTGTATAGTTTAGTCATAAACTCACAAGTCAATCGTATATAGTTAAAGTAGGCTTTAAAGCAGTATAATTATTCAGTATATTATTATATAATATTATTATTTAATAATAAGCGTACAAAAATGTGGTCGTCATTTGTATTTATTAATTCGAAAGAATGGTCGTGTCAGAAAAAATAAATTAAAATATTTTTAATAACGACGACGTTATATTATATAATATGTCTAAATTATTGTTTGCGACGTAACATTTTAGTTTTCCAATTCTGTTTCGATTAAACTCGGGCGTTTACATAATATTATGCTCTGCTCGAGTATCGTGTACGTACTGCGAGGACAAACAAAAACGTGAATATTCTACACGACATGCCTAGCTTATTTTTTATTTTTATTTCGTTTGCCTTCGACTACTGTACAACGGTAGCTGTGAAACGATTTAAATAAAAACAAACCGTTTTGACACTGCAATTTGGGCACAAAAAATTCTCAAGGAATACAATTTCGACAAAACGTCATCGCCACCGACACCGACACCTCCGTTGGTTATTAGCATAACACTGCGACAACCATACTATTACGGCAGGCCATATTGCCATATTGCTAAGACAACGAACGTATTATATAGGCGAGAGAAAAGTTTAACGACGACGTCTGCAAAGATATTGGTGGGGAAAGGTGTGTATATATTATTTTATATGTATACAAACTTTCGAATAAACTCTTTGTACATAATATACGTATGTACGGATTGTGTACAAGTCAAAAACCGTTTTCGGATTATCATTATTATTATTATTATTGTTATTATTATTACTACTACTATATAATGTCGGAAACACGGTTTGGCTAAAAGGGTGAAACACGACGTGAAACACTCTATATTGCACACTGCATCCTCTGCCGACGACAAACGGCCGGGGGACGGACTTAATGAAAATTCCATTCTCCCATATAAGGTAGGCACGCGTAACGTGGTATTGTGTGCAACCTGGGCACGATCGAACGCGAGTAACGAAATCTAAAACCGAGGCCGATCATCCTGGAGCGTTGAGTATTATTACAGGGTCGTATACATAAGTGCGAGCTAGTGGTGGGCAAGACGTGTGTGTCCGAAACTCTTGCTCGTTCGGCATTGGTTTGGTTGGATAAGAGCTTAACTATTGTGCGTATCCATCAGTGACGCACAATGATGTAATGCTAATAATAACATAACCGAAAGCGTTTTGTATACAGTAAGTTCAAATGTGTGTGGGTGGGCGTACTTGGAGTTCTCTCTGAATGGTTATTGCGATGGAATGGGATTTCCCGCGACAGTTGTAAAATTACTCCTCGTCACACGTAGGGACTATAGAAACGAGGCAATTTGTTTCTTTTTGGGGAAAATGAAAATTTTTGTAAGTCATTTCGTCACGTAGTGTGATACGTGAAAAATATCGTATAAAATGGATGGATTTAAAATATTTTTAACACCAAAAGTAATAAAAAGTTTCATGTTTGAAGAAAGGTAGCAGAGAATATTATTTTTCTTGCACCTAAAATAATATTTGTCCTACTATTCCTTGAATGTATGCGATTCACAAAAAAAATGTAGAACCAACATTTATTATTATAATTGGTATATTAATGTACCGACAATTTGTACGTCATATTGAACTTAAAACGAGTATAATAAAAATGATTGTAATGGTACCTATTTCATATTAATTAACTTTTTTATAATTATTAAAAATTAAAATTACATTTAGTGTATTATTTGAGCTCATTAAGGCATGACGTTTATCAATAACCATAGGTGCTGGCTGATTAGATTCATGTAATTTTTTTGTTTAAAGTGATTGGGGTTTGGAGACAGTATTTAATATAATAATAGCCTATTCCAATTGGTAAGCTTCGAAAGCCTCCTATTCTTGTTGTTATTTCATTATAATAATTGAGGTACATTATAAAATAAAACTTATAGTTCCATCCCAGCATGGCAACAACTAAAAAATAATATTATAGTACTAAAAAAATTTTGATTTCAGCAGTGTTCTTTTAATATTGTTTGAACGTGCTAAAAAATCGCAATTAAAATATGATAAAATAGACAACTAAATTATGGCCAATGAGGTTAAAATTATTATTAAGGAAATGTGAAACATCTTATATAATTTGTAATAAATCGATGTGAGAAATCTACTTAATTGTGTAAGCTAAAAATAACGTTTGTTAATTTTACTCTTTAATGTCTTAATTTTTTCAATGATTTATTTATTGAAAACACGGGCTAGAGCCCAAAGTTATAATAATACATGAAACGACATTTGGTACATTCCACAATAATTTAAAGTGACTAGATTCTTATGACATTGTTTACAAAAATTAGATAAGAGTAGGTAATATTTAGATGTTTATAAAATTATAACAAGTAAAACAAGTATAATACATTTATAGCATAATAATAATAATAACTAGAGGTCGGATTTTTATGATTTTACATATTTGTTTCTAGTTTATGCAGTTAAATAGGAGTGAGAAATCTTTACGAATTATGAAACACATAATTCACAGGAAAAAATTTATTTTGCATAAAAAAGCATATTTTAGAGGTTAGAGAATATTTAACACGTTAGAGAATATTTGGGAATATTTTTGTGATACCCGGCATATAATGAACATATTTCACGCATATCAGCATTTGATAAATACAATGTTCACTAAATTATTTATTTCCGGATTTTAATAAAAATTAATTTCCAGGTATTCCTTATCGATTGCGAAAGCACAACGGTTATTTCGTTAGCTGTCACGACTATACATCGAACAATATATAGTAATTAATTGTTATTGTAAAATTAATTTAATTAAATATTTTTAAAACCAAATTAATAAAAAATTAATTTAAACTGTTTTTTTTTTTTTATATCAAAAGAATATTTTGCATATTTAAGGACATAAAACATCATATATCTGGTATTTTAAAGGAATATATTGCTTATTTTATGTGACATACAAACATCATATTTTAAGGATTTTAAAAGAATATAAATCCGACCTCTATTAATAACAATAACGATACGTGGACTAACTGATCCAAAATGATGGGTTCTCATTTTCAATTTGCATCATTTTAATGAGAAATTGGTTCATATATGAATAAAGAAGGAGGACTTATCCTTAGAGAAAAACTATGGAATTTTAAAGTTGATGCAATTTAAGGGGGACGGTTAGTCGATATCACCATTTAGAAGCTTACTAAGAACTATTTTGTTTGCTTCAACCCTTCTGATAGCTAGAGAGGTTAGGCAAAGGAACTTTAGTACTAGACTGTAGGTAGTCGTGTGGTGCGTGTTCAATATTTAAGATTTGTTTTCAATAATGTGTCTAGTATGAGTGTATAAAATATAAATATATACATTATACAACACCTATGCTTAAAACATAATATGTTCTCGATTGACTGATTTTTAGGGGGTGACTTCGAATATTTTGTTATGAAACATAAAAAAACCCAATGTATAATGTCTGACTGTATTAATGATTTTGTAGTTTGGTGCGATCGGCGTGATCAGAATATTATTGCTGAAACAATACCTTATAATATTATACATACACAAAAATTTACATAAATCATATACCTATGGTATAAAATTATGTATTTAATCACATATAAAATAGTTTAAAATCTTGTTTTAATATAGTTTACTGGTCTAGAAAATATGTAGCTACCCATGGCCATTCAACAAAATAAAAATTAGATTGCTGAACTATTACACTTATCAGTTCACTCAAAATGGTTTAAATTATTATGAACATGAAATATGAATTGTTTAAACCTCAAAATATGACAAGTTACTTCGAGAGCTTCTGAAAATGAATTAAACTGCATGCTTATTTACGATAATTGTTTATAAATTAATGGGATGTACAACGTTTTATCATACAAGGATTATGTAATATATGTATCTGGAGATAGCATTTCGAGATTTTTGTGAGACACTTGTCTGACAACAGAAATTCTGTAGTAGGCATGTATTATGTCTCAAGGTGAAGGGAATATAATTGAATAGATGTTCCGTGAATACTTTACCCGCTAAACATACGTACAATAATTGCAGACTTAGAAGTCCAATTAATAACTTATTAACGTATACTACATGTTATACAGTTATAATATTATAAGTTGAATGTGTATCAAACAGTCATAAATTATGGTCGTACAGGCTGTCCTACAAAAAAACAAGTATAAATCAAATCGATAAAATGAATTACAATTGTATATTATAAAATGTAATATGATAACTGATAAGAAATATTGAATTAAGTTATAGTTATTGTGAAAACATAATAATGAAAATATATTTGTACATACACATTACAAATAAAATTAAAAATTAGGTACCTATCTACAGTTATACGCAGGCCATATGATACACACGCATTTTACGAGACTCTTGAATTATTTGCTGTTGTATTATTCTGCAATTTATACCTACCAATATACGAGTTACTTAGTTTTCACTACCAAAGCTCGACCTTCACCAATTAGAGGTATACTAGGCATTTTATTTTCATTAACATAAAACGCATTGCGTCACGTAATATATTTTGTTCACCGACTTAAAAACTTGCAACAGACCACAGGCACCGTCGGGCTTGAGACGTTTGGGCTGTATAGATAATAACACAATATTTTCGCAATGCCGACTGGTACTGTGTCCCCACTTAGAATCATAAATATTAAAGTTATCACCTCGAAGAAATAAAATACAAATAATAATGGAATTAATTGCGTCTTGCCATTGTCCTCTTATCCGATTCAGCCACCTCCAATCGAAGGCACAGACAAAAAATCCATAGTTTTCCTCAGGTTCGCAGCTAATAACAATATTGATAGCTCACCAAAAACTCCAAATAAGGTGCAACTAAACACCACCAACAGTTATTTTATTTCCACTTATATTTAAAAGGTATTACCGACTACATATGGCTAAGAAAGAACTTGATATCATTGGTTTGCACAGTTAATGTATCGTAAATCAATTTCTAATCATATAAAAATCCAAATAGGAACTTTTATGGGAGCAATAGGTAAATTATCCTTTTTAGTTTTTCTAAAAGAAATTTAAGTACCATAGTAAAATTATCATCTACGATCTGATATACCATATACGCCAGAGGTTTTGTTATTAAACATATCCATTTATTCAGTATTCACTCTAGAGGCTTATGCTGCATCAGAAATAGACGATATTAATTACACTGTAAGAAATATCATCAATATTAAGCACCAGAAAATAAAATTCTAGCTATTCATCAATTACAAATGATGTATAATATACAAACAACTGAGTCTCACACAAAACAAAACATTTAAAAAAAAAACAACAATCACCACCAATATCCAACTCTATCAACAACCATGAATACCATAGCAACAACCAGCCACTAATAATTCAATAAACTACATTCAAATGTCACCACTCATCATTCAAATCAATTTTTTTTTTTAATTGGTCTCTACATGATGTGCAATGAAGTAGATATATTATAGATGCATTTTTTTGAATAGATATTATATACTTTTTTAAATGTATTTATACTAAATTTTTTGTGTCCATCATAATGTTTTGGAACACAGAATTTGATTGAATCTACAAATTTGAAGATGATTTCTGGTAGATAATAAGAGTACTATGTTCCTTCTTTGTAAGGTTAAGAATAAAAAAATCCAAATAATCGTCTATAAAATTCTAAAAACTAACAAAATGGTCAAAAAAAAGGTAAATTATTCTAACACAAGTTTTCGAAAATCAATTTAGTTTTATTGTTATTTGTACTCCAGACAATTATAAATGAAAATACCTGATATTTTTCCAAATTTTAATTTTCTAATCTGGAAGTTATTTTCAAACCATTGAGGGTAAATATTTTTGATTTTCTATTAATGTTGATTCATTTGTATGTCAATTAAATTGAATATTCAATAGATACTAAATTTCTCTTCCCATGTTTTTTTCGTAAGAAAATGATATATTTTGAATATAATAAAATATAACAATTTATTCCTCTCCAAAGATTTTAATAATTCATTGTTATTTAGAATACATATTTTATAAAGACTAGAGCTATCTTCTGAGGAGGCACATCAGTGAGTATATATTATTATTGTATATACGAAATTATATTTTCTAAACTTATAGACTAATTTTAAGCTATTTATACAACAAATATATTCAAACCATTATACGGTACACAGAGATAGGCATAGATATTTATTTAGAAACGATAATATGCAACGTTCATGATTTTTAGTATTGTGTTTAGTTGTTGTGCTTAATTAATAATTAGTTCAACCTGCTAATTGATAAAATAACTATAACAATAATAAAAAACTAGGTAACCATAAAAATAAACGTTGATCTGCAAATCTTCATTATTTAAAGTCATTTTTGCGTACCAATACAATAACTAATCATTGAATTCAAATATTTAACACTTCCATAACGGTTATTTACTTAATAATATAATGATGATTTTCACTTGTAACGTAGTATCCAAGAAGTTTCCCGGTTTTCTTTTATTATTATTTCCTTGTTAAAAAATTTAAAAAATATATCACCATTATATATTATGATATTCAATTTCATGGAACTTTTTTTTATGACTATTAAAATAAGAGAATAACTATAACTATGATTAAACAAATTTAATTAATATAATTAAAACATATTATTAGTACGCAAGTCTTACTAAATCATTGAATAATTCGTAAGAAATTTTATCCAACCGTAAAAATTGTACATGTAATTTACATATTTATATGTATAAATGATAAAGTTTTATTGTAATTTCTTTTAAGTTTCAATAAACAAGATCAGTTTTCTCTAATCAACTAAAAATTATTTTACTTGATATTTAATTAATTGTATTCAAAAAGGTAATTACTGTTTAAATATTTATAGTTTAACTTTACCTGATATTGTATGGCTCTTCCTTTTGGTTGCGGGTGACGGTATCGCTGGAAAAAAAAAAATGAAAAATTCAATCGAATCATTAATTAAACTTGTTAACCGTTTTAAAGAAATACCTTTATGATTTCATACAGCTATGTTTGAACAATAATAAAATGCAGTTTACCCTTATATCGCTAATAGACTTTTATTGTTGTTTCTTATATTTATTTGGTAAAATCAATAACATTCGTCTACTTTTTAAATCCCATCAAACATTTCATAATGTACAGAATAACTCTGTGCAATATGATTTTATAATTAAAATATATTTTAATGCAATATGCTCAGTACTTTATACTATACATTACGCTCATTATTTTTTTTTAATTATACCATTTCAAAACAACTCTGATCCAGTGTCATTTATTTAGTATTTATATATGATTCAGCAATTTTTTGAAGTTCAAAGTTACATTTTTTTTTGTACATTTTAAATGTTTAGTAGAAAACTTGTAACCACACGATTTATATTGAATTATATGTATACATTTTATATATATTTAAAAATCAATCAAAATATAAACAAAAATATTATTTAAACAACTGATTTCGAAGAATCAATATAGATAAGTTGCGAGTAATATATTTTTGTAATATTATTATTTGCACACACCCATTCATTTTTAACATTAATGTTGCTTTTTTTTAAGTTGTCCAATTCATTTTGTTTGAAAGTCGTTATAACCTTGAGGTTTTATTGGTTCAACAAATGCTTAAGTTTAATGTTTCCGGTTAAAATCATAATAATTTATGATTTTATATAACATAGACTATACATAAATTGTATAATTCGATTGACTTTTATACATTATATAAAAATTTTAGTTTTTAAATTACATACAATGATGAACTTATTTATATCTCTCGCATGTGCACCTTTTAAATACATTGTTATCCCAATAAATAAAAATAGTAAACAACCAAATCGTTTTGATTAATTTATTTTTTTCCGACGTATTAATAAGGTGAATAATTATTTTTAAAGTCCTAGCATGTTATAATTATTGCTATTTTTTTATTTTTCTACCAATGATAGCGTGTAGTATTTTATTTAACGAACGCTTACCGCTTACCGTTACAATATTGCCCAAATTTTCACGTATGAGTTTGTTAAATAATTATACCCCAACAATAACTTGATAGATAAGTCACGTCAACGAAAAAAAAATAACGTCAGTGACAATACTATTAATATATATATACAGAAACATAATGTCAACAAAAAGAATGAACTGCCAATATGGAAGATTGATTATAATTAGAGGAACTAGAAACAAGGTCGTATCTGGGGGGGGGGGTTAAACCCCCCCGAAATGTTTTCGTGTTACGTCATGTGGTAGTCAAATAACTATATATTAATATAGAAGTGATAAGGACACCGATTTGGATGAAACTCTTGGATTGGACTCTTTTAATCTAACCGGTACCTATTTAATATTATAATACTTAGTTGTCTGTAACAGGTGGAGATAATATTTAGGAGGCTTTACTTCTGGTAATGTAGTTAGATAAGATTAGTAGAATCGGCATATCTTTTTTTTTTTTAATCTAGAGAAATTGTACAATATGTAAAATAATCTTTTACAATAAGAACAAGTGCTTTAAGAATTTTATAAAAGATAATATGACAAAATAAAAAACAATAGGTTAATTTAATTTAATTATTTACATCAGTTCAGGCAGGGGGCTTGGGTGAAGAGGCTATCCATTGATGGAACTTCTTGACATGTGGGGGTTGGGTTAGTCTAATAGTAGATCACGGCACCGTGTTGGTTTTAGGCGCCTTCTGGGGTCATCAGGAATGTTGGGGCAGATAGATCCAAAATCAAGGGGTTGCGATGATTGTGGAGGTTGAAGTGCATGCGTTTGTAGAAAGTCTTGGCTACGTTTTTTGCTGTTTGGATAGAAAGATCTTTGTATAAAGTATCATTAGAAACATAGAATGGAGCTTTAGTTAGTTTTCGTAAGCATTTGGATTGGAAGGATTGAATTTTAGTAATATTTCAGGGTTTGGCGGCACCCCATAGTTGAATGCCATACGTCCATATTGGTTTGAGGAGTAATTTGTATGAAATAAGTTTATTTTTAAGGTTTACATTTTTAGATTTCAAAAGAAAAATCTTCAAATCTAAAGGAAAAGTAATGACTTAAAAATATGAATCACCACCGATATTTTCTTCAATGAAAAATCAATAACATTGTATTGTCAAGTATAAGATAGCAAGTAAATAGTATATTCTTCTTAGTTTGCAAGTATATTATTTTAATTTGTAAAACTAACAAATAATAATAATATAAGCATAGTCTTTCTTTTAAATTATGCACTTCAGATATTTGTATGCCAAAATATTTTTTCGGAAATTCTTTGGAATTTAATTAATACAAAATCGTTTACTATGGAACGAATCGACTCGGGCGTAATATTATTATTACTATTTTCTAGTTACAACTGTTTGCTAAAAATTATAGGTAAATTGATTATTATTAATTATTAGTGAATTATAATTTTATATATTATTCGTCGTTCTAAATTTATATCAGTAAAACTGATGTCGTTCCTAGTCGTTCATACAAACTACATATTTTTTGTTTCCAATAGAATAAATTATAGTATACAAAGTTAACACAGTGGTATATAATTTATACTTATATAGATAGATGTCAACGAAGGGTGTGCCACAAATGGAATGTTATAAATGAATTTATCGTTAAATTTACATGCTACCAGATATCGTTTGTTAATGTCGTCTGCCTTTAATACAAATTACCATAAAATGTGTACAAGAATTCAGTTAGAATGTTTTTTATCACATTTTTTTTTTGTCTCACTAATTTGTACATTATATTATATCTAAATTGTGTTGGAATTATAAAATTAAGCTAGTGTTTGTTATGTTTTAGATAACTGGAAAATGAAAAATAATAAATATATAAGTACAAACAAATTAATACTGAGATAGAATTAATAAACATAATGGCATATGGATTTGCTTAGAGTTTAAAAAAAACCTTTTTAACTTAATTCATAATTAATTGTTCATCAGACTCGTAATGATTTCATATTCTGATTTCAGAGACTTTTAGTAGGTAATGAACATATTAAATTATCTGCCACTGGGTAATTTCCATTTGTATTTTTATACTTTTAATTCTAGAAACTGAAGAACGTGATAATAAAATAAATATTTTACAAAAAATCTTAAAAATAAATTTTGTCATTAAAAAATAGGAACACATAATTATGATTGAAATTGTTAAACTAAATATTATCTTGGTCATAATGTAATTTAACGCAGCCATGCAGGGGTACAATGGTTAATTTAATATTATACTATCTAATTAGTTTAAAGGTTGTTAACATTTTTTGAAATGGTTCTGCGGTAATAATTATGTCAACTCATTGTAATTTTAATTCATATGTCCACAAACAATAATATATTATGTGTTAATTATTAGTTCTAGGATATCTATTTAAAACCGTTATTGATAATATTGAAAGTTATTTACTATTGATAATTTTTTAAGAGTAATTACTTATTATGTATTATACATCGTGAAAACGAACGATGTTAGTGTAGCTATTTAAAAAATAATTTTCTTAAAATAATTGAAAGTAGATGAAATTGCTAAGAACATAGTAAAAAGTAAAATATAAATATATTACATTTAATAGTCTGCCAAGAGATGCATTTGCATAAGTTTTAGTTTTTGGTTATGGAAACACAATATGTTATGAAAATTAAAATGTATAAATAACTTATGATGACCCAAAATATTTAGTTTATCATCTATATTTATTCTTACTGTTCAGGCACTATAGAATTATATTTTCCTAATTTAGTACAATAAGACTGAAGAGACAACGATTAAGTATTAGTCATTTTACTCCTGTTTTCAAGACCTACTGAGCACTAATCTACTTTACTTATTATCCCACCCATATTATTATAATATATTTAAATATACGTTCGTGACACCTAACTTAGTTAAATACAATGAAATCAATTTACCTGTCGAGATAGAGACCATCCTCGTGGTAGACGGTAACGTCGTTGTGGTTGTGGTAGTGGTGGCGGCGGTTGTCGTGGATGTAGTTGGCGCAACGGTAGTTGTCGGCAATATTATCTCTAAAGCAAAACATAACGAATGTAATAATTACTGCGTACCAACGAATGTTATTCATATATGTGTAGTGTATGGTAGAAAGGATGACTCAATTTTTTCTGAAATAATAATTTAATAAGCTACCTATGATCTGTATAGTTTGCAAAAGATAAATTATTATAATGATATGCGCTCTGCAGATATATCGTACAGACAATGACTTGACGTGATTCGGGAGCAGAAACAAAATCAAATGTTTAATTAAAAGGAATAGAAGTAACGTGGAGTTCGATTGTTTAATATTCCGTCACGGGAGCACTGCGTGCTACGTGTTCGATTTATCTAAAAGTCTTCTTTTCTATTTCCCCGTGGTTTCTTTGTCGGTGAACGAGGTTCAAAATACGATAGTGTTTATCGTGTGTACGTTTTTATAACGTATAATATTATATTAATTAGGTAAAACTCAGAATTTATAATATGCATACTATCAAATGAGTAATGATAGAGCCGTTGTTTCTCATTTCAAATGTGCATATTATAATACCTGTATTATATGATTGCGTCGGCTTATCAGACTCGATAGACAATACATTTTATTTAAATACAATTTAGATATAATTTTTTTTTTTTTGTTTTTTTGTTGAACTTGAGCCCGTCGATAAAGGCCATTAGCTGTTGTAGGGGTTATGATCTGTAGTAGGGGTAAGTTTGGTACGATAAGTTATTTTTAAGATTGTTACGGTTGTTATGGTAGGTAGTAAACACATAATATATGTATGGCAAGGTTTTTAACTACTATGAACCCGGGTGGTCACCCATCCGGGAGCTAGTATAGCTGTGGCTGTTACTTGCTCCCAGTCGCATTCCGCGACTGGTAGCAGCCAACTCGCCACGCCAAGCCACTTAGGTATAATTATTTAACCACGTGACAAGATATTACATAAGATATTACATAATAAGATATTTCATTTATAGTCGAAATCTATTTGTGAGCTTAGGAACGAAAACGATTTGATAGGTTTTAAAGCGCCCACGGATAAATAATTGTGTTCAAACTTAAAGTATGAGTAAAAAACTTATCAGTTTCTGCGATAAGCAATATAAACTTTTAAGTGAATTACGTGCAAATTCGAACGTGCGTATGGCCGAGTAAACGTAAAACCAAAAATACTTTCATCGTTCCTCTCATGACAAATCTAAAAAGAGTATTGACAACAACAATAATTTGAGAAAGACACATTGTTTATTTTTATGTGAATAAAGTACAAATTATGATTAAAATTTTCTTAAATTCCCATTGTATATAATAATCATGGTCATGGTATACCTATACAAACAACATTCATTCGTTTGAAAACTGCACAAACAACGTTTCATGAAAACAATTCTATTAACATTGATTATAATACGTTGTTCGAAATGTATTTACGAACCAGCTATTTTAAATCTGAATACAATTGTGTAATCACAAACAAAATTTGTATGTACGTAACGAAGGAACAACTTTTTTAATAACACGATGAATACTAAAAGATGATCGTTTTTGTAGTGTTATTAATTACACAAGACCGACAATTTATAATAATATTCCTCTGTGGAATGTATAACCTAATTTAAAAGTACAAAAGTATTTTTCATGATTCACCAAAACACGATTAATTTCTTTAACAAACGGCAAAGCAAACCGCCAAGTTGTTCATTGCGTAATTTAATAATTTCAAATTAAGCTCAAATATGAAATTATGGCTACTGAAAATGACGGGATAAAACGAAAATATTTACATTAGTGGACATTAAGTTTTATGAGAGAGAGAACTAGTTGTCATTTAAATTCACAATGGACCAATTTCATTTCTACTAACCAGAATCAACTTCTGTTTAAAGATTTAAGTTAAGCAATATAAACTTTAAAGATTCAACTCAAAATAGCAACATTATTGCAATGACTTTATTATTAGAAACGGAGAAAATCATATCAAAGCGGCATCTCCAAAAAGAAATATATTTTCAATAATCAACACGTTTTAAATGTCTATTCACTTTATATTAATTAATGTAAATGTAAAATGTTTAATGCAGCATACAGTTGTTATATAATTATTGTATATACATTATGGCCAATACAACAACAAACTTTACATCAGTAATATTAATCAAATAGTAGAAATTATTGTAAGCGTATTAATTTGAGTTTATATGAAATATTATTGATCATGTTATAAGAAATATATACTTGATAACCACCTTGGTAATTGGTTAGAATTTGTTGAATAATAAAAATCAAGTTTTGATATAACAAAAATAATTTTCTAAAATATTGATTTTATTTAAATGGAAAATTGCATTTTTGTAGACGTTATAATTTATATATTATATTTAACAAAACTTAATTTTATTAAAATATAGAAACAAGTTGTAAAATATATAAATCAGGTTTTTATGTTGTTGATTATACATTATCTGCAAGAAAATTTAAGATTTTTGTGCCGTTAACTTCATTGATTGTTTCTTTCAGGTTGTCTGGTATCGATAATGTCCTTCGTTTATTTTGAAATTCTATGCAGTCTTAGATGCTCTATTGCTATTACTTGATTATAAACGTTAGGTTTAGTTAAATCCCCCAAAAAATATTTTAAAGGATTTTAATCATGTCGTTTATATTTTTTAACGAGAAAACAATTACCTATACATGTGTGATGAAATTCAGTTTGAATCATTAAATATACATATAGCCGCTGTCTGTCAAAAGTATTATTGTATTTTGCTTACATGAATGATCAGTAATATCAAGGATTTAAATAAGCTTTCAGTTTTCTATGTTTTAAACAATTATATGCACAATACAACACTATGGGCTTAGGGTAGAATGATTTATAGTCTCCGGAAACTTTTATTTGACACTTTATTCCATTTGCACAACACTTTCACCGTCTTTCTTTTTTTCTCTTTTTCTTAAGCTTTACACGAATGTTTTCCAGTGACGAAATATTATGTGTTCACTCATGATTTATGGCCATAGTGAACAATCGTCCAAAATATTGTTCTTTGTCCTTTCAAATTTTGTCCATTTGAAAGTTTAGTTTATTTTTCTATATTGTATAATGTATTATGATATTTTTAGATACATATAAATTTCAGTTTATTTTGAGTTTATTCTAATATAATGAATTTTAAACAAACCAATTATCGAGTATAATATCAAAAAAACTACACCTTGTAAAAAATATTCAGTGAATTAGAGATATAATATGAAATAGTTGATGTAAATTTTATCTGTAATACCAAAAAAACAATTAAGAAAATAATATAAATATTATTAAATTCTCAAGCCTTGGTACGATGATATAACATTATTTTAAAATATAATATTTTTGTATATATTACTATATAAGCCTTTAGTTTGTATAATATATCAAGAATCTGTTAGTTCTCCCTCGTTGCAGTGTCAAAGGTTAAACAATAAAACAACATAAAATCAATAAACTACAAAAAAGACCCTATTTTTCACTTACCAATTACTTAAATGCCACAAGAAACTTTCATAACAAACTTAATTAATCATTGGTATGAACCGTCAATTATTGTCATGTTTTGAAAGTTGGACACTTGCACTAAAGGGTAATTTTGGAAAGCAAAACATACTTCTTACTCCTAAGGTTGAAAAATTATGAAAATAGTTGGAAGTAATTGTTTTGTCAAAATACTAGATAATATACCAAGAACTTTGCAGTCAACTATAAAGGAATAAAACCATAGATTTATACAAATAAAAATATTGTTAATTAATATTATCCAAATTTAATTTAATTGTATGATTAAACGTATAACTTTTATAATTTAACAATGTATTTTTACATTTTAATCAGATTATGAATCAAAAAAAAA